CATGGCGACGCTGACGGCGGCGGCACTCGTGGCGGTGACACTCGTGGCCGCGGCGGCGCCTGGGCAGCAGAGAGAGCTGTCGCTGCAGTGCTGGCGGCAGCTGGCGGCGGCGGCTGGTGGCGGCGGCTGGCGGCGACATTGCTGGCGGCAGCCATGCGGGGGCGGCGCTGCTGTGGCGGCGAGGGGGCGGCGTTGCAGCGCCCTGCCGCAGCAGGCCCGCCCGGATAGCACTGGCAGTCTGCCGGCGCGGCCGGCGCATTCGAATGCGCCCGCCGCGCCGGCAGACTGTTGGATGGCCACAGTCGCGAACGTGGGTGAAGTCGTGCGGCGCAGAGACCAGCTCATTCGCCGTCGCCGGTCCCTCGATCACGGGCGCCGTCGCCGGTTGACCCGCGTCCATGGGCGGATTCAGCAGGCCTGCAGCCCTCCAGCCCTCTAAACCCCTCCGACCCCTCTAACCCTCTCGTGGCGGGCACTCTCGGAAGCTCCGCGCCATTCTTTTTTTGCGACCCCTCCCGGAGGCCCTTCCGACCCCTCTCGAGCCCTCCCGCCACGAAGATCCTCCCTTTGTCCGACCGTCCCTCCGAGCCCACCCGGCGCCCGAGCCCTCTTGCCTATCACCCGAGCTCGGGGGGGCGGCGAGCCCTCCTGGACCCCACCACCCCTCCCGCCTCGCCCAGCCCTCCTGACCCCTCTCCCTCCCGGAATCCCGGTGGACCGCTCCACCCTCCCAGCGCGCTAGCCCTATGGGACCCTGTGGAGCCCTCCCGACGCCGATCCGACGGGGACCCCTCCAGCCCTGTGGGCTGGCGAGCCCTCCGGTCGGAGGGGTGGAAGCGGGAGGGCTCGAGGACGGACCTCTCTCGCTCCGGGAGGGTGGAGGGGTGGAGGGTGGAGGGGTGGAGGGGTGGTTGAGCCCTCTAGCTCTATCGATATAGCCCTACCCCTCCCGCCGTTTTAGGGCTTGCTGACCCGCTATGTCTCGCGCCGCTCCGCTCGTGGCCGCCGCCTCCCCTGTCAATCCCGCCGCCTCCCCTGTCATCCCGCCGCCCGCACCACCGCCGCCACCGCCTCGCGCCTCGCCGCCGCCGCCACCGACCGCCCTCCCGCCTGCGCCGCTGAGCGCGGTGCAGGGGGCGAGCCCCCGCTGCGCAGCCTCACCGCAGTGCACTGCGCTCTCCGCGCCCCTGACGATTAGTGAGGAGGTGTTGCACAGCATGGAGCTCGGCGGGCGTTTAGCGAGCCCCTCAGCTAGAGTGAAATGCTCCCGCGCGAGTATGTTTGCCGCAGGCTGGCCAGATCGGACGCGTGGAGGGAGTCTAGGATGGGGAGAGAGGGAGGGGTAGAGGATTGGTTGGTGAACAGTCTGTCTGTGTCTAGGTTAGAGAGCAAAAGGGATAGAGGGAAGAAGGGAGGGAGGGGCGTTTCGTTCTAAATTGATGAGAGGACTAGCACTTCACCGCCCGCACACTGCCGCCCATCCCTCCAGAAACGGGCTTCTTGGGTGGAAAGAGATGCCACCGGCGGCTTGTCCGGTTACTCAAAACGGTCTGGTTTTCAACACATTGCATGTCAATGCACATGTCTCGCAAGCGTGCGCGATCGTCGGCCGCCGACTCCTCCGCGTCGACGCGTGACAGACCCGTGCACGTCGGAGCCGGGCTCCTTCCGCAGCGCCCGGAGGTCATTCAAAAGTTCCGTGACGGCGACCTCTGCGACGTCGAGCTTCAGCCAGCCTACGGGCCAGCCGTGCGGGCACACAGAATCATCCTGGTCGGAGTGAGCCAATACTTTAAGGCGCTCTTCTCGGGCACGTGGTCGGGAAGCGGTTCGCACGATCTCTCTGCCCTCTCTCCCGCTTGCCTCCACGCCTGCCTCGAGTTTGCGTACACCGGCGAGGCGGAGGTGGCGGATGAGGCGGCGCTTTCCGAGTTGGTTGAGGGCGCATCGTACTTGCAGATGGACGAGCTACTGGTCTCAGCGTCGGAGGCGTACGAGGCGCGCCTCTCCGCAAAAAACGCCCTCGCCGTCTGGCAGCTTGCAGAGGCGATCGGGCGGCTGCCGCGGCTCGCAGAGGCGTCAGCCTGGGTGGCGAGAGTAAACTTTGGCGAGGTCGCGAGCGACGAGGCATGGGCGTCGGCGCCAGCGTGGAATCGTCGCTTCCCTGCTGGAAGGACAATGGCTCCACCCCAACCAAGGAGGAAGTTGTACCCGCCCCGGCCTTGGCCTTGGGTGAAAACCGCTCCAAACCTCCCCGCTCAACCAAGAAACGGAAGGTGTGCGGGAACCTTCCTGGCCAAGGGGGGGCCGGGTTTGGCCTTTGCCTGGCCC